AAAAAAAAAAAAAAAAAAAAAAAAAAAAAAAAAAAAAAAAAAAAAAAAAAAAAAAAAAAAAAAAAAAAAAAAAGAAGAGCTGGCAACGTATTGCATAAATGGAGGCGACGGCCGAATCTAAAAAAAATTGCGTGTGCCGTAGCACGAGTCATTCGAAGAGACACGTCTTTGTCACTGAAAACTTTGACAACTAGACTGACAGCAAACAGTGTTAACGTATTTCACATGATAATTTCGAGATATTTAAAAGACCATGGTTACTAGAAAAGCATTCCACAGGCACCCCAATGACGACTCCCAAACACAAAGAAAAACGCGTTGAATGGGCAACCAAACATTGAACGATGCACATTTATTCAGTGACGAAATTGCTTTTCAGATACGGTTTCTCGCTGGTATAGGGGGAAAAACCAGTTCGATCACAAAAATTATAGTTTGGGGTGGCTTTTGTATAAAAGGCAAACGCCTGTTTTGTTTTCTGAAATAATGGATGCAAACCTGTCACACACGACGACGACAACTACGGAAGAATGAAGCTGATTCCCAGAAACTGGTAGAGCTTTGCAGTTGAAACCAGTAGTGCCTCGGGGATTAAGATTTGAGAGTCACCACTGACTATTCAGCAGAGCTTGGAAAGGTACTAGTTCTTTTGGGGACCGCATGCTGAATTGAGCGATGTTTTCAGTGTTGTTCTAATATCGTCAGAAACAGTCTCTTAAACTGACTTCTCTCCCTCTCCAATTTTCTTTATTATCTAAATATTCGCAATTACAATTAACTCGAGGCAGAAGAGATATTAATATACAGCATAATCCTTAATTGTCCGTCAAAAAATTCCCTCCTCATCCTCTTTAATATTGTTGAGGCGTTACCAATTCAATAGATAACATTGCGTCGTATGTCGAGCTTGATCTCAATACAATCACATCTCCTGTCAATGTCGTTCCCCTTTCTTGTCTACCATGAGTACAGACATCCGGTTGAAGAAATGATTCAGGTTTGTTAATTCCGTCAATTCGATCAAGGCCTGCGATTTTCGGGCTATCAACATTTCGCCTCGATCACCTTCATTGTGTGGTCTTGCCTCGCATTTTGTCTGCAACCACTTCTCTGAAATCTGATATAATCTTGTTTTCTTTCTTTGCCTTTTCCTCTTGGCTATTCGACAACGTTAAAACAAAAAAGTTCAATTGTTGGATGACTCGAATGGGTTGAGACAAGGCGTACAAGGCATTGAAATAAAATTGTTATAACATACTTGAACAGCATAAGCGCTCTCTTCTCTTCTGCCGAAATAACTTGGTTTTCTTTACGTATACGTACAGCGTTCATTCGTCGATGCCTAAAAGAGAATAAAAATTGTTATATAGAATAGAGGTGGTTTATTTGGGACACGTTTCGCAGTTTGTCTGAGATTCTACATCGACCATAAATCAACGCGTATTGTGTCAAGATTATTACCTGCTCCCGCTCATTACATAGCCAACAGACTCAAACGACGATATCTCATTACTAGTCAGACCGATTTCACCACGACGTGGAATACGTTTTCCTTCCTGGACATAAGCAGCCATGGCTGAACCTTCACCTGCAAGAAGAGCTCCTCCGTAACTAACGAGGGCATAATGCTGATCAATTAATGAAACTTTGATGCACAAGATAATACGAGACAGGGAAAATATATATATATGTTTATTTACGCTCTTTCACCAAGTTTCGTTTCTTGTGCAGGAATCGGTACTGGCCCGACTTGAAGATCTTCTGGAAGGTCAACTGTAAACATGATAATTAAATTACAGTCAGTATTCCATCATCAACAAAACAGACAACATTGTTTACTTTCTACTAATCGCTTACCTTTCTTCTCAACCCAAAAATTTTCCAAATTTTCCAAGTCTTCTTCGTCTATTTCTTTCACATCATTTGCCGTTGCCTGCGATCTGTCTTCTCCACCATGATCTTTCTCTCTCACTCTTTCCCTTCTCTTCTTACGCCTCTCCTTTTCGTCCTCCGTTTCGGATCCGCCGGAAGAGGAATCAGCTTTTCGTCGATGTTTCCTGTGTGATCTGTGACGATGACTAGATTTCCTGTGTTTCCTTTCGCTTTTGTGTTCATGTTTGGATTTCTTTTTCGAATTGTGGGAAGCTTGAACGAGTGGGTTGTTAAAGAAGTGCAAGAGTGTGTTTAGAACTAATGTTTGCGAAAAAACGTTCTATCTACGTAAATCAAGTACATACGAGTGCTGGGAGACGATTCGCCATCCGTCTCAGATTCTGTAGCTGGCTCGGGCGACGAAGGCCATACTGAATAGAACATTCGTTCTCTATCGACCTTGCGTTTTTCCAAGTATGTCAGACCGCTTTGAGGCCGTGATCTGTCCCTCGAATCTCGAGATCGATCGTAATAATCCCGATCACGGTCTCTAGCCACGTAACTATCACCCATTGTGCGTATTGTGTGTGCATTGCAAGAAAATAATCCATTTTTAAAGACTCCGCGTGACCAATAACATTTTCTGGCGCAGTGCACGTTTTTTCCGGCGTACGGAAACTGCCAATTAGAATATTAATATTAGAGTTGGCTAATAATATCAACAGAAAACGTTTTTAAGCAAATGTATTAATCAAACCTTTTGTAACGCTTTCATATTCACTAACCATAAGTTATATACAACTCAAAAAATAGAGAAACCTAATATTAATCAACCACGTAGAATTATTAGCTTTTCCGTATAAGCAAACATTTGTTAATATTAAGCGGAAAAAGTCGTTGACACCAAAGTTTGGCCTTGTCTTTCACAAATTAAATTTATCAAGCAGAAACCTCTACTTTGGTATCTCAATTGACGTTTACCATCCGTGTTGGTCATTGTCAGTTTACTACTCCTACTGACAGCAATTGTGTCGAGGGTTTAATGGCACATACAATCTAGGCTCGTTTATTCCAAGACATTGCGTAAACCTGGACTATAAAATCACATAATTCAACTATTGTAAAGCTTAAAAATATTTTCACATATGATGTCTTGGTTGAAAACGTTTCAACGATTACTTCCGGAAAGGTTATTGTTTATTCAAGTCTTGTAACAATATACAAGTTGTTCAGTAAATCATGACTCATCGACCAAAGAATATATCTCGGCATTAGGTACTCTTGATATGCGTACAATAAATAATTATTGCTTTTAGTAACAGTGATATTATTCTTATTGACTGTTAACACGCATGCTTCTATGAGAAGCACAACCGATATTGTATAATCATGACAACTATAATCGTTAATCAAGTACGTTCTCAATTTTAATATTGTGGTGCTGCTTTTCACACCATTATTGCAAACGCCCTGTTTTCGTGTAATTTAATTTTTTCCTTTGGGTAGCTGTTCAAGTGATTGTTATTGAACGTGAAATCGAACAGGGGATGTATTTACGTTTTTTTAGACTTACAGACTCGTACCATTAATATCTTCTGTAGTGTTTGTATTAATAATGTAGTGTTTGATACGTACTGCTGGATGCAATATGCAATATCACGTGTGCGCAGCCAGTTACAGTTTGTCATAGCTAACTGATTAACAACACTCTCAAAGCATTATTTGACTTGTAGCCAATAGCGATAGAACAATATTACGTATTTCGATATTCCAATACACACGAGCTGCAAGAAAGAAAGAAAGTGCTCAGTGATGGTGCTGTGCACACTGTCTGATACGTATTAATCAGTAATTTTCTTTTTAGAAAAGACAAATGAGGGCCTACAAGTTTCGTTTATAACAGAGCAACGCAAAAAAGCCGTACATTTATTATTATTATTAAGTATGTACATCAACGAACTGACAATTTAGAACAAATTATTTCTAACTAGACAGCCAATTTTATCATGCGTTTTATATTGAGTTGGCATTATTTTCTATGTAAAAACCATATTGTAAAGTAGTATCTATCGTAATTAACATATTAATATAGAAAGAGAAACAACTACGATTCTAGATGGGTCGAAAATACATTAAGCACCCACCCAAAGGCCATTAATAAGTGCCGAACCAAGTGGATTACCCTTATACTTAATAAGCATTGTCTGCTTATTCCACTGGCGAAGTAAGTGTCCGGTAATGTCAAATCTCCAACCGGCAGTCCCGCCATTTTGAATGAGCACTGGTTTAGGGCCTGCGAACAAAGGCGTTAAATCGTATAGCACTGTGCTGGGAGTAGCAGTGTTCACAATCAAGATTTTGTAGTTAGCCCAGTTGGGATCAGTAAATCCATCATTCCATTTCCCGACTATGGTTGTCTTTGTCAATTGTTCAGAGTATTGAATATAGCCATTAGGTGTGGTAAAAGAAGAGTACGCAACATCACCGTTAACTCGTGCAACTGGTTTAGCAACCAAAGATAAAGGAAGCAATAGCGCCAGGAAGAAGAAGATCAAGACTGAATTTTTTGGTGACATTTTTTGTATATCGTAGATATAGATGTTATTCAATAAGAAGCTTTTGATTTGGAACAACTTCTTATAAAAAGACAGCAGTCAGACGGGGACGAGCTCCTTATATATTTGTTGGACGGGAGAGAAAGCATATTCGTGGACGTAGCATACAAACAGAATAATTACCAAACTTGTTCAAAACTAATTTTGTCTGAAATAGATGACCAGTGGCAGGAAATAACATGTTTGACATGCGTCTTGCTTATAGATCCTTGGTTATACACATTTAAAACGACGTTTGTTGCGAGCGAAACGATGACCAATCAATTTCTCGTAATTATGAGATTGAAATTGACAAAGTAGAAGATAATTTAAAATTCTATTTATAATGCACATGCCCCCTTGCTTATTACATTATTATGAGGTGGCACAAGGATATTGTCAATTCTCCTGTTAAGAATAAATATGATAGATACAATGCAACATCTTTTGATAATTGCACATTGACACAACAAACGCACAAGGCTGTGTAATCGTATGACAGGATTATTCTCGAAAATCATCCCAAGCTAAAAATAGCAAAACTTACATATTTTCAACTCAGTCGTCCATACTGCACGTGCTATTTTTGAAAAAAAGTATGCGGCAACAGAAAACGCACAGCGACGGTAATGATAAAGGTCAAACAAGTTTTCTCGTGGAAAAGGCTAATTTCTTTTACTAAAGTTTGTCAGATGATGGCTTGCCGTCTAGTTTCATAATAATGATGATGCGTATGACATATTCAAGTCTGTGATAAGTTGGCAGTTTATATCAAATATGACGATTAAGACCAATTAAATAGCATTTATTATATAGAATAATCGTTGCGCTTATAGTAAAATCGCTAACCAAACCCCCATTTTTTCTGTTTGTTAATAAAATGCGTTGTCGGCAAAGTTTGTCAAACGTTTAACAAAGATAGAAACAAAGAATTTTCTATGTAGATTTTATCATATAACACGATAGGTTTGGTGATTGAAACACTCGTTCTGCAAATCTTAATTAAATAATTAACCCTTCTCGAAATTTTGACATGTCTCTTGTATCGGTTACGAATGCTTTACCTCTCTTGCAATGTGACATATTTCATCGATGCACGAGTGTTTACGATTTAAATATAAAATTTTTTTGCATATTTTACTCGCATGTTTGGATCAATTCTTTCTGCTGATTGTCGAATGATACAACTTTATTTTTAACAAATCGGTTTTCAATGTAATTTCTTGATACAACGGGCTTTTCTCTTAGTAAGCTAACGTGTTGTTAGCATAAACAGATGTTTTTTTGGTTTCAAACCATTTATTAAATGTTTGGTTCTAACATTTAATATGCACATTACCGCACTTACTTGACAAAGTTTCTGCAGCTTGGACAAATTTAAAGGTAAATTTTTTTTCAAAACAAATTCAAACTCTACTATTTTACCACCTAATCGTCGACAGCGTTAGCAAATTTAGTCGAAGTTTGGTATTGTAAATAAAACGATTGGCGCTTGTAGGTGTCTTTAAATTGCATGGAAATAGATCACGTGTGAGTCATTGCCATAATATGTCATTTTAATACTGTACGCGGATACTTTTTTTTTGTAGATAAAAATATTGTATAATTTTAAATATGAGTTATTCGTTATACATATTCGAATATCGATTGTTTTATTATAACTATAGTAATAGTGATTGTCGGGTATAGTGGTGACACGACGCCATGTACGATGGGGAATGGAGTAACAAATATAAACAAAATTTATGTCTAGCCAAACCTGGAAAATTAAAAATGTTTGATCACCAAATTTCAAGTGTGATGCGCAGTGATAAACTGTTTTTTAAACTATATCTCTCTTTCTATTGGCTATCTCTATTTACTATCGGTATCGCTGTTATTGCTATATCATTTAAGCCATGATCTAGAGACCATCGCTTGTCTTATATACATGGTTAGTTTTTCATCAAGTTGGCGACGAAAAATTGTCTTCTCCGCAACGTATTTGTAATTATCAAACCATTACAAGTAATGTTCATAAATGATGTGATATGCCAAAGACCAGAACAAAGTAATCTCTTCGTTCGTCTCACCCAAGCGCATACCAATCATGAAAGAGTCTATTTATAAAAACCATATTATAACAAACTCAAATAATGAATTTCCTTATAACACAAGTGCTCCAATATTTTAAAATTACCTCACCGTTATAAATAAACGCCAGCCAACTTTCAACTCGACAATTAACAAACAAAATGAGTATAACAAAGACAAACTCGAATACTTCACTCTCTTCACAAGCTTGTAAGGACTTTCTCGATAAACGCAAGGAAGCTCTCTCAATTTTTGATGAAGCCGACGTCAATACGTCACACACTAGAGTCTGCCTGGTAGCAAGCGCCGGTTTCTTCACCGACGGCTATACCATATATGTCATCAGTTTTGTGCTGAAAATGTTAGACGTGGTCTATGGTAAGGATAAGGATGTCAATACGGCCCCCACTCACTTTATGATAAAATCTTCCTTTCGGTTTGGTGCTATATTGGGTCACTTATTATTCGGATACCTGGCTGACAAGTATGGACGAAAAAAAGTAAGAGTAGTTAGAGTTGAAGAGTCGAAATTCTAATTGGTTGTCATGTAACCCTAATATTCATGTTTTGATTTATCCAGATGTTTGGCGTAGAGTTAATCATCGTAATAATCGGCACGCTGTTTTCTGCTATGGCTGGTGAGAGTTCGACTATATCATTTGTGGCCAATTTTGTCATTTGTCGTGTAATTGTCGGTATAGGAATTGGCGGAGATTACCCAATTAGCGCACGTACGTATCAATTTTTTATATTAAGTAACATTTCTACGTACAGTTTGATTTATTAGCATCTATTCGTTACAGTTATCATCTCCGAACATGCGCCTCGGAGATTCAGAGGAAGAATGTTGGCAGCAGGGTATGCATTTTTTGCACTGGGGATGCTTTGGGCTGGTGTTTCCGCTGTCGCTGTTCTTGCTGCCTTCCATAATTCTGTCGATCAGGATCAACCAAATCTCGTACTAAAAAGTAATTTTGATCATGTATGGAGAATTATTATTGGGTTTGGCGCGATACCTGCTATAATCGCGCTGTTCTTCAGATTGTCGATCCCTGAGACACCGCGCTATCTAATCCATGTTGGGAGAGAAATCGAATGGGCTCGCAACATCGAACCATCACGGATTGGGGACTACGATGACCAAATAAAATCCAAACAGCCGCAAAACACAAACCACTTTCTCGACATGTATCGGCATTTTCGTTCAGGAGAAAGTGGGAAATACTTGATTGTGACGTCCATTATTTGGTTTTGTGCAAACATTAGTTCGACTGGATATCGGGCCGACTGTCTTCTTAATGGATTTAGTAATCTATATCACAACAACTCGGTTTATAATACAAAGATAGTAGATAATTTAAACGGCCCGGTTTATTATCATACAATTATGTCAGATAATTTAAACAGCGTGGTTCGCCTCTTTCTGGGCTATCTCCCTGGTGCTTTGCTTACCGTGTGCCTAATAGACCGATGGGGCAGAAAACCCATTTTGTATACTGGGTTTATAGCGTGTGCGGTGTTATTCGCCCTTCTGGGAGTCTTGATCAAACCTATTACTCAAATAGATCATAGTAATAATCAAACCTTATTAGGATTGTTGTATTACTCAGTTTCGACTGTGACTATCGTAAGTCATTTGTTGTTGGTTTTTTTTTTGAAAAATTTATGACGCATTGGTTATTTTTTTCTCGACGCTAATAATAAGACAACCTTTACTTTTTACTAGTTCTTTACAACGTTCGGTCCGCATGCAGTGGCTTTTGTAGTGTCCTCCGAACTATTTCCAACACGTTATCGTTCAACTGCTTATGGTATAAGCGCATCGTTCGGTAAAGTTAGTGTCATACTTTCTTTCCTGATATTTGAATGGCTTTATGATGTTAAGGATAATTTTCGCGATCGATTTCCCGTTGCGACTATCGTGTATGCAATCTGCATGATAATTGGAGCGGCAGCTACAACTTTTTTACCTGAGACTAATAATAAACCGTTGGAGGAAATCGCCGACGACGATGAGCTAACTTCGGAACTCGAGGAGAAGCCTTTTGTCTCTCCCAACGCAATAAACCATAAATCCATGGATGTATAATGAAATGACTAGACTTTGCAATACAAACTACTATAGGGTTGAATGTTTGTTATACATATTGTAATTATAAATTGTAATGTATAGTAATATTTACTTTTTAATACGCTATACTATTGACCATACCTAGTCGCGTAAGCACACAAATGTAACAAGAAAGTTTGCTAATCCATATATAGCGCTTGATTGCTTTTTATATTTTATTTGGATGTCACAAATAGAATTACAATGTTACAAAGAAAGTAATTACAAAGATCCATTGTATGTTAATCTCTGTAACAAACAATACCAACAACAACAACAACAACAACAACAACAACAACAACAACAACAACAACAACAACAACAACAACAACAACTCATTTGATAGGTAGAATCCACTATTTTGGAATATGCTCTCTTTCAGTCCTTGTAGCGCTGTCTTGTTGATTGAGTTTGTTCTAGTAAACTTCTCCTCAATGATAGTTGGTCAAAACTCTTGGCATTCTGTTTCAATTGTACTACTAATTCTGTCATAGCCTGTAAGGTAAAAAGAGGTTATCATGGCGATCGATTAATAGTTCACTGTATTATACAACACGGTTTTCTTTTGCGCCTCGAGAAATCGTCATTAGTACGATTGAAAGTGAGGTATGTTTGATGCCATATAGATCTTTTATAACCTCCGTAAACAAATATATGCCTAAGAGGATATGTAAAACCAATCCAAATTTTTCACAAACGTACCGGAGTTCATGTGCGATACGATAAATCTAGCAGCAAGTATTAGTTGCATGCGCGAACCTATCAGTAGAAGAGCTGTTGCTATGCGAATGAACGGACAGGTGCACGATACCAAACAAACTTAACGAAAATGGAAACCCGTCGCCAAAATTGATTTGGTTATGTGGTACTGATTCTAACAATTTACTAGTGATAGGTACAAGAATGCGAGTTCAGTTGGACAAAGCAAGCGTGTTCTCTACATGGCAATTTTCAATATTTGCTGAAATTAGAAGTATACAGAACAAGTCACTGTAATTAAGATGTCTTTATACAATGAGCGTCTTGATTTAAAAATGTATTTTTGCAAGAAATCGGTGTGATCGGGGTAAAATTAAACAAGAATGTTTTGGTAATGGTAAGTTCATCGTTATATCCAGTTCTGATTGTAAATGCAAAGTGAGATAGTTTTGCGCAGTTTTAGCGAGCTCAAAAACATTCTGTTCTTGCAACGGTGTTGTGATTTTTCTTTAACAATGACTTCCCACTAATGATTTTATTAATTGTATCTTTGTGAATATATAAAATGCATTTGATTCAGCAATTCAGTAGTAAAGCAAACACACGCACCTCCCAATTCGCTCCTCGTACACCCGTTAATTGTTAATAAGTTTATAATACTAATGTATCCTGATTATTGATCTCAACAACCTTTTTCGTTTTCGTAAAAGACTTGATCTTATGAACTTAGCATGAGCGCTTGCACAACCCTATCTTAGAGTTACAGAAAGAGTTAATGACCATAGCATCTGCAACTTTGAAGACTGCTCAAAGAGAACAAGGGGTCAAATTATTGTCAAACCCAAAAACCATAACAAACTGCTAAGAAATTCTATACCACTTTATGTATAAAACCAATTCTCGCAATGATTGCATTGACAAGCTAACTTCACTTGCTAATTGTGAAAGCATACAGCGAATCCTAAACGCAATTTTTCTTAATGTACCCTCCCCTTACTGCAACGTTTCTCTAAACGCATGGATGACGGGAGTCGATAATTACGTAATAACTGTCACGATATTTACATAATCGCATTAAGGAGGTTATTTTTTTGCTGGTGAGGGGACGGCTATTTCATAACATTACTTGACTGAGAGTTGAAGGCATGCACTTAGGGAATATACAGTATAGAGATCGTGCGTTATGTATGCTGTGAATTTACCTTATTAATGACGTTATTTACATTATTATGTCGATTATAACACTGCATATGTGTTAAAAATACAATCTGTGTGTTGTGCAGCAGTCCAAAACTCTGGCAATTGACAATGATATAGTTGAGGTGTTACTATTGGTAACTGGTTTTTGCCGAGCTTGCTATATTGTGAAAGTAGGCTATGGCGGCTACAGGGAACATTCTGCTAATAATCAGGTGGATTTTGTTTGACATTACAAATGCAATAAATGTTACGGATTTAGGCCCATTTCAAAACACAACTTTATCATAGTAACATGCGCTCTTTATTTTTATTGTTATAGATAACTTATAGTAAATTTAATGGCTAAAGACTTATTTCCAAGCCAGATGTACGTGCCAATGTTATGGAAGAAGTAGTAAAACAAAGAGTACATGCTTTGAAAAGAGGAAGAATGGTTGTAGATTAAAATCAAATACGTTAATCCACTTCATATATTTTTCCGCTTGCGAATCTTGTTCATCCAGGCGGAATATGGTAAACTTTATTAATAGGTACAATTAAGTTGCAGGGTATTGGTAATGGTAATAGTTATCTTGATATCTGTCTAAAAATGTATCTGTAAATGAGCGAACATTCCTTGTGGCTCAAATTGCTACCCTAACGGTGGATAATAAAACCATCTTGTTATAAAGAGTAAAACAAATAGCCTATCTTTCGATTGCTAAAAAATATGGGGCGTAATCATTTCTGATTGTTCTATCTTTAAAATGGGTGGAATGCGGTGCAACGATAACAAACCGTCGCTATGTTTGATTTTAAAAAAAGATTTTTAAACACCCGCTTAAACTTTGTAATTCTAAGACCATCACAAGTATCATTGTAAAGTACTAATAACCTTTGTTTATAGTTAATACTGTGCCAACACCAATTATAAAATCCCATGTTTTTTACAACGCATCGAAAAGTAGAAACAATAAATGTGCGTACTTCTCGGCAAAGCTTATAATAAATAGAGCATATCTCGCCAGATTGAATTATAAGAAGAAAAAAAAAAGAAATGCCTAGCCACAATAACTCCACCTCAATTTCATCTGATGACGACACTCGACGCAAAGAAGCTTTTGAAAAATTGGATGAAGCCAGCATCTCGTCGTTGCACATTAGGGTTTGCCTAGTAGCGAGCGCCGGTTTCTTCGCAGATGGGTATAGTCTGCACGCAATCTCCTTCATCGTATTGTCGATGTTGGGATACGTTTATGGTGACGATAATACCCTTACTGCGCCTACTCAGTTTGCGTTAAAATCTTCGATTAGATTTGGCGCTGTAGTGGGACACTTATTATTCGGCATATTGGCCGATCGGTGTGGAAGAAAGAAGGTACGATTATCATTATTATATATAGTTGAAGAATCGAATTCCGATTGGCTTGGGTAAAATCTAATACCGATGACTATTTTTGTTGACAATAGATGTTTGGCATAGAATTGGTAATCGTGGCAATGGTCACGGTTTTTTCTGCCATCACCGGTCAAAGTACTGCCATATCATTCATAAATAGCTTTACCTTTTACCGGTTTTTTCTCGGTATAGGGATAGGAGGAGATTACCCAATCAGCGCACGTATGTATTATTTTTATGCATTTTTTGGTTTCCCAACGCAGCGCCAGTTATCTATTTATTTACAAAAATATCAATGCCTCTTTTTTATATATCAAGTGATTATCTCCGAGCTTGCGCCTCGGAGATTCAGAGGAAGAATGTTGGCAGCAGGGTTCGTGATGTTTGCTTTCGGGATGCTTTCTGCTGGTCTCGTCTCTGCCGTCGTTATTGCGGTATTTCGCGATTCCATCAACCAGGATCCACAAAATCTCGATTATGCATGGAGAATTATTATTGGGCTTGGCGCGATACCTGCTATAATTGCGCTATTCTTCAGGTTGTCGATCCCTGAGACACCTCGTTATCTAATCGACGTTGAAGGCGAAATCGATTGGACTCGCAGGTCACAGATTGGAAACTACAGGACGCCCAGACCGTCGTCGCAAAGCATAAACCATTTTTACCGATATTTTCGTTCATCAAAGAACGGGTGGAAATATTTGCTCGCGACGTCTATTATCTGGTTCTGCGTCAACTTCTGCTCGACTGGATATAGAGCTGATGCTCTTTTTGTTGGAGTTGTCCTAAACAATGGCAACACAATTTATGATATCCTCTTGCAGCATAACGTAAATAATATAACTCGCCTCCTCCTGGGCTATGTCCCAGGAGCTTTGCTTACCGTGTGCCTCATAGACCAATGGGGCAGAAAACCTATTTTATATATTGGGTTTATAGCATGTGCAATGTTATTCGGTCTATTAGGCTTCTTGGTCCAGTTCATGCACACAGATACAATAAATCCAGTATATTACTGGATTTCCACCGTTGCTCTCGTAAGCGTTGTTTTGCGTTTTTCTTTTTTGAAATATTTTTTTTTCTCGATGCTAATAGTAAGACTACTTTTATTCTTAAAAATTACTAGTTTTTTATCACATTTGGTCCGCATACGGTGGCTTTTGTCGTGCCCGCCGAACTATTCCCAACGCGTTACCGTTCAACTGCTTACGGTGTAGCCGCATCTTTTGGGAAGGTTGGCAGCATACTGTCTTACCTGGTATTTGAATGGCTCTACAATGTTCGTGGGGCCTTTGGGATTCTTCATACGCGATTCTTTGTTGCTTCTATAGTGTACGCCATCTTTATGGCAATAGGAGCTGTGTGCACTACTCTTTTACCCGAAACCAACAATAAATCGTTGGAGCAAATTGCCAATGACGATGAATTGAATTCAAAAAATCCGTAATTTAATGGATGTATAAAAACTTCATAATACAGGTTGTTTTAGTTGAGTTTAGACTAGTAATATTTTATTCGATTGCTTACTGCACACATTATTATATGTAAATTTGGATGTAAATAAACTAATTTTTATACGTATAATCGAACTTATTGATCATTTATATAACAATCGACAGTGCTGGATTGAAGAATATATTGATATAAGGTGCACTTAACCAAATATATCCCTGAAGTTCTTTAAACTCCAATACGTTTACGATCTATTATACCATTGAGCTCAATCTGAAATACTATTTTAAGACAAAAAAATTCTGTTGTATGCTTTCTTTTCGTACCGATAAAAATTAATACGCAACATGAGCAGGTTTTTATTCGCCCCAAGCAAAAGTTGCCATCAAATTCTAATATCTTTAATTCATAATGTAATGAATAAACAAGTGAGTAATCACGACAAACAATAACTGTTCGATAATATTTATCCAATTATTATATTTACCGAGCAATATGCACCTATCTCTTATATGTATATATCTCGCTTTTACTTAACAATGTTGCTCAATTAGTTTTTATGATAGTTGTTAAACAGCTCATTACGAAGACACACATAGCGAAAGCCTTTATTATTAAACAACGTTTTTAACAAGGCAAGTTTTCTTGGAATGACAACACTTCTCATTTGCATCAGCTTCCAGAAAACATACAGTGTGTTACAAAAGTTTTTGCAAAAACATTGACATAACAAAAATACGTTTAGCTCTTCCAATTTTGTATCAAATTGCGTCGCGTAAAATACATACCTTTAAACTGACATGTTTGTATACAATATTACTTATGCATTTTCATTAAACATGTATCCAGTATCAGAAGAAGAACAATACCGTCAAGTTTTAGGAACCAAAGAGTACGTACTGCCAAAGAGCTTCATAAACTCACAACTATACCGTCTCGAACAATATATTACAATATTAAAAATTGGAACAACACGCTTGACAGTAGAAGTGGTCGGCCAAGAAAATTACTGCGTGCGGCAAGTTCAAGAATACAGGACAAATTCGGCGTACAGTGGTCGACATAAATATCCGGAATTTTGATCCGGTGCGGAAAAAGTCACGTAGTATAACCAATTTTGGACTAATACAAAATTGGTATTAAAGTATCGTGCATCATAACCAAACGCGTTACCACTAACTTGTTTGCTGTCTGTTTTCGCGTCTGTTAGTGAAA